CCCAGTGGATTAATGGATCTTCATGGTAACGAACTTTTATTTTCCTCCAGGCTTCCCAAATGTCAGAAGAAATGAGTAAAGAATTACATATGCAGGCCCAGGAAAAGCTGGCACAGTTCCTGCTGAGAAGCAGGCTGGATCAGAGAGCAGCACAGCGGAGAGAGACGTTACTGGCTCAGGTCAACACTGATGTGGAGCTGCTAATGAGTACGTGACTGCTCTGGTCATAGTTTTAATTAGCATTTGGATTAAACTAATTTAGAAAGAAAATTAAAGGGAACAGTCTTATTTAAAAACCGAAACAGCTTTCTTCCTTTGCCATACGTCTTATGTTGAGATTTTGAGGGTAGTTAGAAACTATCCAGATACTGCTGTAAATATATCTGCTTTTCAAGGAGCTGCTTATTTTTCTGCTGGAGGTCTTTCTGATGTACTCACAACAAAAGCAATGGTCCTTGTAAAAGACATAGATGTTTTTAAGGGCATCTTACACAACCTCTTTTTCTAATGTTTTTTTGTTGTTGTTGTTTTGTTCTGTTTTCTTGTTTTCTTCATATGAAAAGGAAAATCTTTGAGCTGAAAATTTTGAGGCATGTCTTCATTTAATCTGGCCTGGCTTTATTTGGAACAGAATTCACTGCTGTGCTATCTAAATTTTACATAGCTTGGATCGAAAATGAGAATAGCAAACTGCAGCCAGCAGAGAGCACCCAAGCAGGACAAAATTCAGCAAGTTACTGAAATTCCATTACTTAGTCTGTCACATGGTGTGCCACTGCAGCTCAGTGCTGCCTGAACAGGCAGACCAACAGCATGCTTACATTGTGCTGGGGCCCCCAGGCAGTGAATACGCAGCGCTGCTGCAGTAGAAGCAGACGCTGATATCACCCTGTGCCAGGAGTGCTGATCCAGCATCAGTGAGCAGGAGCTCCTTTTATGTCACAGCTTCATTAGAATTTGGTTTGATGGACACCGCTGCTGTCACTGAATGATGTAGTCCTGCTTTCCCTCCTTCTCCCTTTCCCTGTTGTGTATTTATTTTTTGAGATAGCGCTAATTCGGATTACTTCTCCAATCTGGTTGATCACATAGCAATAAAATTGTAATGTCAGCAAGGGGAAATGAGTGACCTGGGACAGTAGGAGGTGAGAGAGTAGTGGTCTTTATTGTTTTGTTTAAAATACTCATAAAACTGCAGCATAAAAAACAAAACACAGAAACCTGATTCTCCTTGTTCTTACAGATGCTCCGCAGTTAGCAGAGACCACAGAAAAAGATCTTGCTGTTTTCATGAGTCGATCAGTCCCTGTAGCTACCAAGGCCAAAGAGTCCCACAATGCTATGCTGAAATACGCCCGCTGGCCGTGGTGGAAGAAGCTTGGAGATGAGTTTGAGGAGGATGATGTCATTCCTGATGACATCCTGAATGCAGAACTTGGAAGTCTGTTTATTGGTGGAAGGAAATCCTTATAGCTATTGGTGGAAGCTCATCCATTTACAGGCAGAAGAATCTGTTACTCATTTAGCCAGGCTCATACCTTGCACTATGCATTACTTGTACATGATTTTATGAAAGCAAAACGCTTGAATTCTAAGACAAAGCACTGAAAAAGAACAAGGTTTTATTTTACTTACCTTATTAAGAATCTTTCTGCGCATCAGCAGTAAAATATTGACTGTGCTAATACCAAAAGGATTTAAATACTGTAGTTGCTAATAAGAATATTTTGTAACTGTTTCAAAAAGGATTTAAGTACTATAGTTGTAAATACAGATATTTTGTAACTTATATAGCTTTGACTGTACATATTCTTTGCATTTTCACTTATTACTTGCACTCAGATGCATAAAAAATTATTCCCTTGTAAAAGCCTGGGCTGATGTGCTTTGAGGTGAAGGTGGATTCAGAACAGATTAAGACATGAGAACTCAGGCAAGTAGGAAACAGGCTGGGTGTTTCCAGCAGGGTAGGACAGCTAACTGTGGTCAGCACAGGCAAAGCTTGGACTGAGGAATCTCCACTTCTTGCTTAGAAACAAGTGAAAAAGCAAGAAGAAGAAAGATTTTGTTAGGCTGTATGTCTAACTGTATGTTTTCCTTTAAAAGCATGCAGTTCCTTGCACAGCCAGTGCACTGCAGTGTAAGATGGTCGCAGTCCAAACTGTTAAATGGGATCAATAGTGTCAGTGTGGCCATCTGCACCACCACCCTCATCTTAAACCACGTGGATATCGTTTAATTCAGAAAGGTCTCCAGCACAATCACTGTCACCTGGTCTATGGTGAAAACCTGTAGTCGAGGGCCAAAGGCCACAGCTGACCAATCTGCACAGAAAGAAGGGAGAACACAAGACTGCAGTGGGTGCCTGCACTACTAATAAAGTATTTATTAGGTGAGACCCAGAAAGTCTTAATACTGCAGAGGAAGAAAAAGCACAATGGTTTCTGCCAATTGTGTATGGACAGCAATATTGCTTCAGTGTGTTTGCTTTCCATCTTCTCTAGAAGGTTTTAATTTTAGTGATGAATGGAAAACAAATAAATAGAAATAGTAGGCAGAAGTCCAAGGCCATTCAGACGCAGCTGATACATTGAAATTAATAACTGAGCAGCTGCCAGGAGGCAGAGCTGTGCTCTGGATTAATTTTTTTAGCAGGCACAGTGATTTGGAAGGCACTGAATTGGCTCTCAGCTCCCTTCTTGGAGAGTTAACTGGTGAAAAAATCCATTATCTGACAGGGCGCTCACATGTGACTGTTGTATTACATGTTCTGCACAGCCTTGCTATTAGTTTTAGATCATGCTTATCAGAAACCAGATGCCCTATGAACACCAGAGTTGGAGGAGCTGGGGATGAAATCTTCTTCAGCAGCTGCCTAGCTCTAATGCTGGAAAATGCCCAGCATCCCCAGCTGAACTGCAGCAAACCACCTACCCACCTGTTCCCTTGCAAATACACTGCCTCTGTCCTCCCCACACATCATTGTATCTCCTGCTGTACAGCCACTGACCCAAACTATTTTGAGGCAGCAGCCTCTGCTGTTATGTTTATTCCTAATCACCCTCATTATAACAGCTCTTTAACACAGGGCGATGTGCACAGAGGTGCTTTTCTTAATGTATTTTATGTAAAGAGATGAGGCCCCCTAGCCAGTGTTAAATACCAAGTGAATTATAGAACATTTCACCAAAAAGCCATTTATTGTAATGTTAATGACCTCTGCCACTCACTGCCACTGGAGTGAGTAATGAATTCCCCCATTGAAATACACTATTTGCTGGATGATGGCTTTTTTTTTTTTTTTTTCTTTAAGTGGATGGAGAGCTGGGTGAGAGGTGCAGCCTTGCTGGAGGAATTCAAGTTGTGGGCTTATTTATTACCAGCCCAGAAGTGCAAATTCCCCTGCCCTAATAACTAAGAACACCTCTTTACATTTTGTTCTTATCACCGGGAGATCTCAATATCTCCGTTTTACACACCAGGTGAACCAAGGCAGCAAAGCAGTGAGGAAGTGTGGCCGTGTACAAGCAGCAGAGCCAAGGCTGCCAGCCCCTCTGCAGTGCCCTTTCTGCCCGGGTGCTGCCCTTTTCACCACTGCTGGGCTCATAGCTGTCCAGGTTTTGCCTCATGCTCCAACACTGCCCATCATTTGCTCCCACTGCTGTCCCAAAGGCATGCCCAGAAAGCAGGGAACTGAGATTGTCTGCAGGCAGAAATGCAGCACAGGTGGGCTGACCTAGTGGGACTCAATATGGCTGCGTCTCTTTGGGCTTGCAGCACGCCTGCCTGATGGCAAAGCCTGGCTTGCAGCAGGGGTGCCTTCCTTGACTGTGGGGTGACACAGGGCAGGACAGAGGTGGAGCTGTGAAGGCAGCAGAGCTCAGGTCATTAAATATTGATACAGGCTAACCTGACCTGTGGGATTTAGCTGAATTGCAGTTTTCTGTTGCTGTGATAAATTAGACCAATTTGTCACATGGTTTTGTTTCTTCCTTTCCCTCAGTAAAGCTATACGGGAGCTTTATTGCAACCATTTCAGCAGCACTAAAAAGTCTGGAAAACAAATCCCTCTGTTGGTTATGGATAAGGAACAGCAGCTGCTCTGCCAAAGGTGCCACCTGAAACTGATCTCCAGCACAGACAGGCATGGGCTTGAGGCGATGCCTCTAAGAGCAGGGTTTCCCCTGGCCATTCAGATTGCAATGGAGCACTGAGCAGGACAGGAGGTACCCAGGTGGACAGTTAAAACGATGAGAAGGGAACAGCCTCAAGTTGTGCCAGGTTGAGGATAAATATTAGGAAAAATATCTTCTCAGAAAGAGTGGTGAGGCAGTGGCACAGGCTGCACAGGGAGGTGATGGAGCCAACATCCATGGAGGCGTTTGTGGAGATGTGGCACTGAGAGACGTGGCTAGTGGGCATGGGTTGGACTGGATGATCTTAGAGGTCTCTTCCAGGTTCTATTTCATCTTTCACCACAGCCTCCTGCTGCTGATTTCCACGCTACAAACAGCTGCAGGATATCGTTACCTCAAGCACTGAGAAAGCAGAGCTTTCTCCAAGCAGGGCTATGTGTAAATGAACATCCATAAGGAAGGGAGGCAGCTCTTGGTGCGGGGAGCCACAGAGATCATCGCGATAGATCTCTATGGCACCGGGTCATCCTCCAGGTGAAAAACTCTTTGAGGAGATCGTTCGCTAAACGATCGATACGGAAGCCTGGATCGGCCACGAGGAGCTCCAGGTGCCGCCGCGCCCTCTGCTAGCCGGGCTCCTCGGACTCAGAACCCAGCAGCGCAGGGCGCTGCGTCTCCCACGCACCGTTTCCGTCGGACCGCCGCGCCCCCCGCGCTTCTCCCCTCAGCCGCGGCCCCGCCCCTCCCTCTCCCAGGGGCGCGCGGCGGGCGGGGCCGTTGCGCGGCGGCCGTTACCCGATCCCTGCGCCGCACGCGCTGCCGCGCGCCCGCCGTTGCCGTGGCGACGGGCTAAGCCAGGGCTGAGCCAGGGCTGAGCCAGGGCCCGGCGCGGCGCTGAAGAGCGGGCGGCGGCGGCGGCGGCGTTGCGAGCCGGGCTCGGCGCTGCCGGGCATGCATAACAAAGGCGAAAGGCGAGGCGCCGCGTGCGGGCTCTGCAGGTGGGTACGGCGGCGGGCCGCGGTTCTCCCCGGGGCGCGGGCGGTGGCGGGGCCGCAACAAAGGCGGGCGGCCGCTCCTTTCCTTCTTCGGCCTGGTGCTGCCGCTCAGCGAAGCCGCTTTTCCCGTCTCTGTGTGCGCCGCTCTCCGTTGCGTTCCGTCGTCGCTGTGGTTCTGGAGGGCACCGGGAAGAGCCGTGTGCTGGTGTAGGGGTAAGGCCGGGGGTCGGTAATGGCTGCTTTCCTTCGCGGCTCTCGGAACGCGCCGTAGACGGCGATGGAGACTCGGAGCCCTGCGGCGGAGGTTGCGCTGCTTTTCCTGTCCCCTTTTCACAGGTGGAGCAGCAGATGAGAGACCTAAAAAGATTTAAGCTAAAGATTTAAGTTGTATCCGGAGCCCAAACGAGGATCTCGTAGCTTCTCAGGCTTCTGGCTGAGGTACCTTCCTGCGCCTCTTGTCATAAAGTCATCTCTTACCCTCACCAGCTGCTCCCACATCTGTCCTGGGCTCTGCCAGGCCGTGGTTTGAGTTGTTTTTGCCAAGGTTTGTGTGTCTTTAGCATGGGAAGAAGGGTGTCTGATGGACACGGGTCTGTGGTTGGAGCGTGCGAGTGTAGAAGCGTGGTGTGGGCTCAGCATTGGACGTTGTACGATCAGACAGCAAATGGTGCTGATGAGGGAAATGCAGAACGGTAAGGTAGAACTGCTGTGGCTTTGTCAGCCTCTCTCATGAAAGGGAGAGGGTCTGTCTCTTTGAAAAGACTAACCTTGCGTTCAAGGGCATACTTCCAATAGCAAAGTAAGTGGTGACTGTGACCTGAAAGGTGCCAGCCTGCTTTTGAGAACCTGTCCGCTTGGTTTTGTGGCCCAGGCAGGAGATGGGCAGTGTTTGAGATTGTGTTCCACCCAGCATTTGCAGAGCTCTGGGCAGATCGAGTCTTCTGAGATGTTCTGTGAACCCTTATTTCTCAATACTTAACTTTGTAAAAGATCAAATTCTACTCTCACAACAAACACCCTTGAGAAATAAGAGGCCAAGCACTGCAGTGCTGCAGTACCAAGGGGCATTGCTTCCCACTGGCAGACACAATGCGGTGTCACAGTTTGTTTCCTTTCTGGTGTTTTGGAGGAACAGTTCTTGCAGAGATGAGGGAGCAAGCATAGCTTCAGGCCTCCATTGCTGGGCAGTGGCCAATTACTGTCATATCAGATTAGTTCTGTGGCACATTAGCACTCATTTATGTTAATACAAATGTAGCATGACTGTTCCATACTATTGATGGAACTGTTGCATTTACAGCCCTATAATATGACTAATTGGAAGGGAGGTTCTGGTTACAAAACCACGGACTTCCAAGGTGATTCCTTCTGCTTCCATAAGGCTAGTTTTGAACCTTGAAGAATGAGCTGCTGGAAGACATAATCCTTTTTTTATTTAGCATTGATGCAGTTACCATTTTGGTAAACTCTGGGTCAAATAAAAGAAAATCTTATATCACAAAAGAAAAAAGGAAGAATTTGTGTTTCTTTCTACCTTGCCACAGTCTGGGCTCAGTAACCTGTGCTGCAGTAGATAAGTCCTTGCCTCTGATAGGAGCCCCTGCCTGCTTGTGCCCTGCAGGAATCTGTCCCTTGGGACCAGCATTAGGTTTTCCCCAGCTGCCACTGCAGTGCATGAGCATGTTCTGTTAGTCCAGAGCAGCTTGGCAGCAGCACTCATGGGTGTTTGTGAGATGAGAAGGCTTAGCATGTGGTCCTTCAGCAGGGCTGTAAAGCTGTCTGCAGCTTAGTGGTTTCCTGCTCACCTGTCACATGATGGCATGCGAAGGATGCACCCATTTGTCTGTGGGAATAAACTAGGCTCCTCTGGCCAGTTCCTGAGAGTTTCACAGTCCCTGCTTCGTAATGAGCTCAGCTTCCATCTGCTTGGCAGTTCACAGTGGCCCTAACAGCTGGTTCCTGGCAGCCATTAGCACCTTGTAGCACAGGAACATCTTTCACTTTGAGTGTTGGGAGGATGGAGAAGGCTGGCAGCATCAGTGATCCTAGGAGAAATAATGAGGGGGCACAAAACAGATGCGTGGATGGAGAGAAGGAAGGTGGACTGAGAAGGTACGTGACAAGGAGGGGCCATGGAGTGGCAGGTGGGAGGCACTGTGGGACTCACAGGAGGGGGAAGGAGGCAGGGAGCTTGGCGGCTTTTGGGAACAGAGGAAAGGATTCTCCTCTGCTGCCAGCAGATTGTGTTTTACCGCTCCCAGCTTTCAGAGCCATTCAGCCACTCCTGAGCCACTGCAGCATGCTGCAGCACTGGGTGTTTTCAAACCCTCTTTACAGCGACAAAAGATGAGCAGCTCTGGGAACTGTCACAGAGAGCTGGGATCAGTTTCCTTGTCCACAGAGTCCTCCCTTCTCAGGGAGGACCCTGGGAAAAGCTGTGTTCCCACAGCAGACACCAGCATTGGTTATGTGAGGTGCTGCAATTTGCTACTCAAGGACAGCAAGGACAGTGGAAAGCCTACGATTTCAGGAATTAGCTATGGAAAGCTGGGACCCTCGGGATGAGGTAATGAGAATAGCTGGAGAATTAAGCAATTCCCATATTCATAAGATGACAGAGTGCAGTTCCTTGCCAAGGCTGTATTAAATACGCTGAGGGGAAGAGGAGTTCTCTGGCTCTGCTAACAGCTGCTTCAAGGTGAAGGACAAGGGGAAAAGGGGGAAAAAAAATAAATCTTAAGTTATTTGTTAAGCCGTGGAGCAACTTGAGGACCCCTATGGAATTTCTTAGAATCCCCTCATTTTCTAGAAATAACCTAATTGGGAAATAAGTAGTGCCTGGAAAGACTTCCTTCCAGGAAAGGACTAAAGATGCTTTTGAAATCTGTCTCTATCCCTTCTCCTACACAGGAAGCCAAAAAGCAGCAGTGCGTTCTGATGAATTGATCATGACTTTGTGTTTTGCAAGTGCTGTTAGCTAGAGAGAGTGTTACGCCATTGCCTCTGTCGCTGTAAAAAGATACATGTACACAAAAATATTTTTTCTTTGGGATATGAAGCTTCAGCAGATGCCAGTGGCAGTTTATACTCTTGATGCTTTGCTAGTGCCTGCAGGAGCAGCCACGCACCATGCTGGTTGTAGGTGCAGTCCTAGAGCTGTGTCAGTCAGATGCCGTGCAGCCCGGCAGCCAAGGTCAGTGATGGCAGCATCCTGTCAGAGCTCATTTGTTTGTGATAGAGCAGTCTGACTGTTTCTGGAGGCATGGCGAGGAAGGCACTCGGTGACTGAAAGGCAACCGTGTCTTTCACCACAAGTGTATGATTCATAAGGCTGTCAGAGCTCTGCTGGACTCATGGGAGCTTGTTCGCACTGGAAGAAGGGAGTAAAGGACCATCAGACGTGAGGAGAGGAGCTCTGTTTAGACCATGCGCAGAAGTGATACGTGTTAGGTAGGCAGAGCTGCTGTGACAGATTTATCTGCTGACTTTGTAGCCTTGCCTCAAGGAGAACTCGCCTGCCATTCCTCTAATTGAGTCCTTGCTCATCTTGAGGCCCTTGCTTAGTAAACCCACCTTGCACAGAGATCAAGAGGGAAAGCAGCAATTTGAAGTGTGGCGTGGGCAGACTGGTAGCAATGGCAGCCGATGCTGAATTGAAGCAGAGTCCACTGGACTAGCAGGGAATCATTGCCTGGTGAAGCTGATCAGCAGTGGTTTTAATTCCCCATCCTGTGGTCAGGAGCTCAGAGCCTGCCATAGGCAGCATTTGTTAGGTGCTTGGAGCAACAGACAAGCTTTCCCTTTCCGACATCATTCTCAGCTCAGAACACAAGATGCAGAGGAGGTGGCTTTGGAGCAAGTATGCAATAAGAAGTGTTGCTGAGTGGATTCTGCCAAGAGATTTCTTGAGCTTGGTGTTTCTCTACCCTACATACATGTGAATGGACAGCTGAAGTGCTCAATTCCCTTCTGAGTAAGGTAGAGGGAAGATTCTTTAGACAGGACAAGGGCATCTCTGTCCTTGGGCATACCAGGTCAGAGAATCGAAGCTAAATTCAAACCAGTTTTCTGACAGCACTGCATGCTGCTAGAGACAGGAGATTTCACGTTACCTAGAGTCCCGTTTGTAATTAACCAAGTTTTTGTTTTAATCTGCTACATATAATATTGCAGCTGTACTACAGTCATATTCCTCTTTGCTGTAGGAGGCAGCTTCTTGTAAAGGATCGATACAGTTTCACTGCTGCCATTAGTTTAACCTGGAAAAGCCTCAGGCCTGAGCTGAATGGAGACCTCTCAATTAAAGCAGATCTTGCAGTGCTCCCTCAGGAGGCCTGGTTTGTGGTACTTAACTGTTTTGCACTCGTGTGCCCCATTTTCTACCGCAGCTTTTGCAACAGCTTTGTTCTCTGTGGGCAATCAGGGTTCAGGTTTCTGCAGTGTAAGATAACTTGTCTGTGAGCCACAGTGTGGCTTCCTGCTTGGAGGGTACAACGTGGTTTTGGAAATCAGTGCCTTATGCTTGGAGAAGCCATACTTACAGTGGGGAGACCTCACAAGTTGTTAGCACAGCTTTGCTGAAAGCTCTGAGAGCATCACTGAGAACAAACAGCAGCCGGAGTCACAGGTGAAAGAAGAAAGAAAAGCAAATCTGTTTGTGGAAGAGGAAAGAGTAAGCCATGGAAGCTTCTCTTGCTGATAAGCAACCCTGAGCTGATAAGCTTTTGAAGACTAGGATGTATAGCTTCTTTGAATCTTGGGGCTGGGAAGGACTGACATCCCACTCCAGACTCTCAGAACCCGGTGTGCAATACCACAGTGCTTCTGCAGCCAGCCACATCTTTCAGAGATCTTCTGCCCTTTTCTCCAGGTTCTGTCTTACCTGATTGCCATACAGCGATGTCTGCCAGGGTCACAGTCATAGCTCCCATACACTACTGTGCTATTTCTGGTCACATGCAAACAGGGGAAGTAATAACCCTGCAACACCTATCCTGGCTGTC